CATGATAAATAATCCCTCTGATATCAAAAAAGATTAGCAACATCATTGCAACAAGTTCAGAAATTTAATTGTCAGACCTCGTAAATATCAGCATCATGACTTATGCAAAATGCTATGCCTCCTTTTTTCTATTTATAATAGAAAAGATTATTCTGTAAATATTCACTCCTTTCCCCTGCTAACTCTGGGAGGAGTGCACTACCCCGCCCCGTTAACGTTGGGCTGGGCCATGGCACTTGCCTCGTGGTTGGTGGAGCATGCTTCTCTTAGTCTGTTCCGGCTGCTGTAACAAAATACTGGAGACTGGTTAGTTTATACACAACAGAAATTTATGTCTCACAGTTCTGGAGGCTGGAAGTCCAAGAGCAGGGTGCTGGCAGGGATGGGTTCTGGTGAAAGCTGTCGCAGACTGCTCACTTACACTATCCTCACATATTGGAAAGGGGCAAGGGATCTCTCTGGATGCTCTTTTAAAAGGGCATTTATCCCAATCATGAGGGAGGAGCCCTGATGACCTAATCACCTCCCAAAGGCCCCACCTTTTAATACCATCGCCTTAGGGGTTAGGTTTCAACATACGAATTTGGGGGGGACGCAAACATTCAGTCCATAGCATTCTCCAGCCCATGGTTTGGGCTTGGCTACGTGACTTGCTTTGGCTAATGAGATGCTAGCAGAAGAGTTACATAAGGGGCTTAAAATATGTTGATGGAGTTGGGTTTGTACTCTAACGTTTACTACTCACTATGAGAACGTGCCACAGGCAGCCCACTGGTCTGAGGAACAGACCCAGACCCAAACTGCAGCTTGCAGCCAAGTTCACCCAGCCCACCTGTAGACATATGAGCAAGAGAAAATGGCTGCTCTTTTAAACCACTGAATTTTGGGCTGGCTAATCATGCAGCAATAGCGAACTGATACACTACCTGAAAAATCAGTTTTATCACCTTAATTTAATCCTTATGTTAGCAATGAAATGAAGATTAGTGAATATCAAAAGTAAACTTACACATCAATATCAAGATCGTTTAAGCAAACATTGAGCTACTTGTTTTTGACATTTCACAATTTACATATCAAATTTTGGTTTCATTTTTAGGAGGGTCTCTATCTATCATCTATTATCTATCTATCATCTATCTATCTATCTATCTATCTATCTATCTATCTATCTATCATCTATCTATCTCAATGTAGGCCTGGGTTGATCTTTCACAAAGGGTCCTCTATTTGTTGAAATTTTTTATATAACTTTAAAGCACACGAAACATTTGGTATGGTCTGCTAAAAATAACTTCTCGCACGACAGGCACTCTATTTTCTCCCAGGAGAAATATTTCCCATACAAAATTTGCATTTTACAGAACAGTTGGTTGTGTGAGCCTTCTGTCTCTGCAGCTGAGTTATAATTATGATGAAGTGCAGGTAAATAGAGTTGCATTTTAAAGAGCTTTCTAGGGGCTGGAAAACTTTAATATCCACTTCAAACATTGGCAATCTCAAAGGACTGTAGTGGGCTCATGTTAGGACTTTGGTGGAACCAAGTCTTAACATATAGAAAAATGTTTTGTATCAAAGTTGTCACCCTTGATAAAGATGAAAGATTTAAGGCAGTGCTTCTTAAACTTGAATGTGGAAACAAATTCTGATTCAGCAGGGTTGGGATGGAGCACATGATCCTGCATTTCTGACAAGCTACCGGGTGATGCCAAGGCCACAGTTTGAGCAGCAGGGTTCAAATACAGTCCCTCAGAGAGGCTGCTGCAGGACTGAGGCTGTTACCCACAGTGGGGACCTGGTCACTGGTGCCTCTTCTGTGATTTTTCCTTCCTCATTCTCTCATGTTCCCCCTCCCTCAGCATGTATCCTGGTGTCACTTCCCAAACGCAGCACTCAGCACAGAGTCTGCTTTGGGAACACCCAGAGACACCCAGTGTACACACGTTTGCATGACTTTCTCCTGCCCTGACCGGAAAGCTTCTTGAGAAAACGGGTTCCATTTGTCCCACACAGAGCAGGTGCTTGAAACAAATTTGGTTCACATGGGGCGGCCATGGTGGTCTGGATCTAGGCTGTGATTACTCCATGCCCACGTGACTGAACTAAAGATCGTGTACAACAGGGGAGCAGCCCCTCTCATGCCCACGCTGGAGTAAGGGGTGAGCATCCTTCCAACACTGAAGTGTATGGGAGGAATCCCAACACCAAGATGGAGAAGCAGGATGCTCCCCTAAACCTTTACTTCGCCCTCACTCCTCTTCTAACAAAGACGGGGTAACCCCAGGTGGCAGTAAATGCTCCAAGCAACTGCTCCCCAGATTCCAAAGTCACAAGCCCCTGGAGCCACAGACACTCATGTGTGGTGGGTCCCCAAGGAGACACAGCAACTTTGGCTTAGTCTAGCCAGGCCTCTCATAACACTGTCTCTGGGCTGAGAAAGAGCCAACACCAAGCTCTGGGATGCCGTCATCCCTTCCTGCCATCACTGATAAGCCAGAAAACACTCG